TTTTTGAAGGCTTAGCCGGGCGGAACGTCCGTCCGTTGGGTGGGGCGGGCAGGAGCCGCAGAGGACGGAGCTTGCCGCAGGCCGCTGCTTCGAGCGGTGCCAGCTCCTCCCGGTGAGACGGGCGAAGGGAGGAGCAAGCCGGTGGCTGCCTTTCCGTGGGGAAAACCGGACCAAACGCTGGCCCTCCATCCGCCCCGTCCTGCGAGAGCTGTCCCGCTGCCGCCCAGCCCCAGAGCATGTGCGGGGGACTCCAGCAGGGGAAGGATCGTGCCAGATGCGGGGCTAACCCTCCTCCGGCTGTTTAAATCCTCGCGGTTTCTGTAAAGAGTCCTGCCCCAGGCTTTCTGTTTTCCGCCCTTGGAGATCTTCAGCCCTCGCTGAAAATAGACTTCTAGGATTTTGTTTGACAGTACTCCTGGGCAAGAGGTCATATTCGCTGCCAAGGATTCTGATTTTAGATATCTTTCCTGCTTTTAATGGTTTATGCCAGTTAAAAATACCTGGAAATACTACCCTTTCATTGTCTTTTCTAGCAGTGAATACCCTTTTTTTGTCCTCTACCAGTCTCCCCTTTTTTTGGGAGAGGCTTTGCTCCGCTGTACTGTGAATCTGTCCCAGCTGCAGGATTGTAACTCTTACCTACCTGGGGATAGTGCTGCAATTTGTTGTGTTAGTAACAGCCCCTGGCTTGCTGGACCGCTGTCATAAAGGTGCAGTATTTCCTGAAGATTGCAGCAGGCTTGTGCAGAAACCGTAAAGGGAATTGCCATGATTTACATTAACAATTGCACAAGCTTGACGGCGGTTGAGACTGTGAAAAATAACACAACGTAAATAGTGTGACATTGCTCACCAGATATATATATAGTAGTCTAAAGTTTAAAATAAGTTTCAGATGAGGACTGTTTGAATCCAGAAAAGTGTTTACAAACAAAAATCTACACGGAGCAGCCGGGAGTATCTGGCACGCACTGGAGTACACACTGATTTTCCTGCTCTATTTAGTTCCATGAGCAAAGATCATTTATATAATCCCTGGGGGGGTCAGTTCTTCTGGCCAAAGCTCAGGAAGTTAAAAGTATAAAAGGAAAAACTGGGTTCTGTTATGATAATCTCTATTTTTTTTTCCTGAAGTGTCAGCAGCTGGGAGGAATAAGGTGTCCTTGTGCTAGGAAGGATTACAAAGCCTTGCTTAAGATATAAAGGGTCCGTAGTATGCCTGTTTGGAGAGCAGTTCTAGTCTGCAAGGATGGAGCTTTGTCTGTAAACTGAAGAGCAATTCTGGATTAATGTTTATGCTGTGTTTGGGAGTTAGTGGTGGCTTGATTGTCGGTTTTTCCAAATATTAGATGACTATGTAACTAGGTAATATGATAATCACGTTCCACGTGAAAAGTGCGATGTAAACAGGCTTCTTATAGTCATTTGATTATTCATCTGCATAGGTGAACTCAGGAAATGTGTTGGGATATCTCTTTATAGAGAAAACAGTGTTTCTTTTTTTAATCACTGATTTTTTTATTGTTTATTCTTTTACACAATTTCATTTTTATTTTTGTTTGTAACTGTCTTCCTACTAACACTGCTTTTTGGAGTTATGTACTGGTGGAACTTGTGTTATTTTCCACAATTCAAGGGCATTTTGTACAGTTTTAACAATGGGCAAAAAGTTTTGTTTGTATGGGTAATAGTATTAGTGTTTCAGAAATAAAGTCTAGCAAGTGTTATGAGTGAAGCTGTCTATATTTTATATAGGCAGATGCGAGGTCACTGTAGACTGAGTTGGATCATGCCGGGTTCCATTTAAAAGCTGACTCAAAACTTGTATTTCTGTATGTGTCTTCATGGTTCAACTATGCACAAGTGAAATGTAAATGAAATGTACACTGAATGTAAAGACAGAAACCTACTGTGGTTTCATATTCAGAAAGATCCATTAAAGAACCAATAAAACAAACGTTGTGAAAGGTGTTGGGGAAGGGGCATGGAGTTGCGCTGGGTTTATCACTACAGTCTTCTTCCCTTGAATCAGTAAGCTTTGAAAACTTACAAGAATATGGCGTTGCTTTTTTCTTACTACACTGATTCTGATTATTAAAATTATTTCTGATATTGATCCTGATTACATGAGGTGACACATGCACTCAATCAGAACGAAGGATGCTGTTAAAACTCATTTAGTCAAAAAAGCTTGTGTTGATGTTCACCTCAGTGGGTTTGTTTTGTTTTTTAAGTTGCTAAGATAATTTTTAATTAAAATAGGAATGACACAGTTCTAAGCATACCAGTGCGTGTGTGTGTGGAGATCAGACCTGAATCTGAGGATGTCAGCTTAATATAATGAATAATTCAAAATGTAAACTGTCACTCTCCTTTCTTGGCCTGCAGTCACTGAAATAGCCATAAACCTCGGCATGTGATCACACAAGGTTAAGCATATTTATACAACTGAAAAGTTCACTGACTTGCTGTGGATTTTAACAGAAATGTTTATTGCTAGAATAATAATTCACAACATCAACTTTTTAAAATATACAGAAGAAATATCTTTATTTTCAAATTAATTCCCAGAATGAATCCACATTTACCCCACCAATAGCTTTTACCCCACCAGTGAGCCAATTTTAATTTAATTTTCCAAATGGTCTAGATTCAAGGTTAGTTTTTTTCTGGAACAATCGGAATGGCTGTAACTGGAAAATGTTACACCAGACAGCACCATCTCCCCCTTGCTCACACATGTATTTGTTTTCTGTCATCTTCTTCAACATGTTACTCAACAAAACGGTTCATTTTAAAGGCTGATCCCATCTTCGACAAAAAGCTGAACTCAGTTTTAGAACTGGAGATTATTTGATCAGTTGAAAATATACCAATATAAGAACAAAATATGTTGCAATAGTAGAAACAATAGTTTTATTGTTTGACCAAACTGAGATTTAGCATTCACAAGGTGGTAGGATTAGGCCTTGTTACGAAACAAGGTATATTTTATAACATTGATTATTTTTTCTGTTAAGTGAATGCCAAGACTATGACTCTTTCAAACTTCAAGAACAGTTTGATGCTGATCTTTTGTCCAGCATGAGTTATTTACTGTACTTGCATGTTCACATTACAGATAAGCAGAACTGAAAATGGGCTTTGTAATGAATCATGAATTCTT